ACAAGTCCAACTTGACCTCTATCCAAAGAAATTCCTAAGCAACTAAAACTCTTTAGGAATTTATAAATTTCAAAGTTTCTCAACAATAAACCATAAATCACCACAACAAAAATTTAAATAAAATTAATTTTTAACAAAAGTGTATAGTTTTACAACTTTTAAAAGTTTTTATTTTATTTTTCAGTCATGATTTACTTTTTTATTTTTTTAAATGAAACAACATATTGTAAGTTCTTAAATAATAATACATTCAAATATTTTAATATTGTATAAATGCTTATTAATGTATACATATACTTATTAATGTATACATACATTATATATATATATATATATGCATTAATTTATTGAATTTAAGGAATAGAACCATTGAATCTTGTAGAGGTAAAATGATATTTTTGATAGCGATTTTATACTTTAGTAAGAGATGAAACTCTAATTTGTTGATCATGAAGTAAAAATGTCGACGAATGTGTTTGATTTTTCGTTTGGAAGAGGCAAAAGTAAGTTCATTTAGAAACTTCCTCTCACATACTTCTCCTTTTAATTACCTAGGAATGAGTGCTTCCAATAAAAACAAATACACACGACTTACGGCGGGTTTGGAAAATTATTTTTTTAACGAAAAGATAAAAACACACTTTCCAAAATACCAAAATACAAAGCAACTATTTCTATCTTTTCCGTTCAACGTACTTTTGTCAAATTTTAACAATAAAACAAACACACACCTAGTTATGACTTTTGGTATAAAAATATTCTATTATAATAACTTTAAATATAACAATTTATATTTTAATTTAATTTATTTATGGAAATATTTTATATTAAAGTAAATTCCAGTACATTTTCCCCCCCTTAATTTTAAAGCTTGATTGACTTTGCCTTTGAACATCCCATTGCCCACATTAAAAAAAAAATGCTATGAAAAATTACGTTGTAAACCTAGTTTCACGACAAGTTTAATAATTCTAGAGTGACAATATTGATAATCAATCACAACTTTTGATATATACGGTTTTCAAATAATTTTAGAAATGTGAATAAATTTATTATTTATTACTCATAACAAATTCTAATCGTATGAAAGTGTTGCAGTTCCATATGATCAGCAAAATGATAGTTATATGATATCACAGAAATAAATGAAGGCCTTCGTTATCACTGACATTGTAAAGTTTAATAAATATAACTAAAGGCACCAAATGAAATTTGATTAAGATGGATTTATTTCATTAATCCATCTGAGAGAGATTAATAGATTATTTGATGTTGCGAGGCATGAAGCATCCCTGTGAGACTGAGGAGAACAGCTGAGCAGAGGCGGCGGGATCGATCTTCTCCCTCTGATCTGAAAAATCAAGCGGCGAGGAAAGCGTCCACGTGGCACACCAGACCTGACTTATGTGTGGGAAACGATCTACAGCACCCCAAAGTGATGATGTCCAATGGAGAAAAAATAAAATAAAAAATAAGGAATCCCTTCAACAGTTCTAATTTTCATTTCTCGCATCTATTCCTGTCAATGTGATCTGAGACAAACGCTAACAAGTGGTACTCTTCAGCGATAACTCTCACTTTCACACAACGCAACCTATCTCGCGATTCCGTGCGCGCTTTTTCTGCTTCCGAGGCTCCGGCTCGGGATGCCTCGCCGCTGAACCGGACCGGTTCGGCTCGGAGAGATCTTCGGCTCGGAAACACGCATTGCGGCGGTGATGAGAGGGAGCTGCTGGAACCGTCGGACAGAGCAGCGCTTCCGCCATCTCGCGATCTCCACCGTTAAATCAGTGAAGATCAAGATTCTGCTCTGTTGTTGCGTCGCCTTCACGCTTCTCGCCTTCTCCACAAGCGCCTCTTCCTTCATCCTATGGAACAATCAAACGCCGCCTCCACCTCGCTTTCTCGATTCCAGGTTCCTTCCTCTCCGATGCCAATATTTTTCTCTTTTATACTTCATTAATTGTTTTAATCCCTTCAATTTCCTATTACTTAATATGTACTACACTTTATAATAATTCAATAAAGGTAAAATAACTGAGATCGCTTCGTTTTTGGTAACGGATTCTTTTTCGGAAAGGTTTTTTTGACTGTGAAACAGGCTATTCAGGAGTTTCCATATACGCGCTGGCTACTTAGATTCCGTTTGATTTTCATTCGTCGTTTTCTTGTTTCCTACATATATGTGGAAAAAAAATAAATAAAGAAAGGGATATCTTTGTGTATAGGTTTTTGTTTGCTAGGTTAATGAAGTTAATTTTAGAAAGAAGATGAGGAGACGAGCTTGATGTTTAGCTCTCGTCGTTTTGGAATAGTCTGTTAAGGTGATCGGTGTTATTTAGGTGGAATTTTTTGCGAGATTAGGCGGCTGAATAAGTTTTTGGTTCTTAGAATCTGAGATATTGATGTTTGGGATATGTCTTTCTGATGTCACTGTTATTCATTTATTTTTTTCACCGTGTTCATTTCCTGTATTTTTTTATCGTCAAGTGATAAGATCTTGTAATGGAATTTGGATTCATATTTATGTATCTGATGGACTGTTTGATATTATAAGATTCATCACTTCTCGATGAGCTTTCTAGGTCACCCAACAATCCTGAACCGGAAAACGGATGAATGAAACAGAATTTGGGGTTTGGTGGTTTAAATTATTAACCTGTAACCTAGCTCAGAGGAGTATATCTTGTTATTTCGAGTATTATGGACTCCACCCTCCTTGATCATATTTTCTTGATACATAAATTACTGGGATGTAGTCTGGGGATTGGCTTTTTGGTTCTAAATTTTATTTTGTTTTTAGAGGTAATGAGCTTATGCCTCTTGTGATGTCACAGGATTCATTGTCCTTTTATGTTTTGTCCACAGGAAAGGGTACTCTATAGTAATGAACACATGGAAGAGATATGATCTCCTAAAGCAGTCCATCAAGCACTATTCATCATGTCCTCGACTTGAATCGGTACATATTGTGTGGAGTGAACCGGATCCTCCTTCAGATGTTCTTTTAAAATATCTGCACCACGTTGTAAAGTCCAAGTCTAAGGATGGACGGCTTGTGAAATTGAAGTTTGATATCAACAAGGAAGACAGTTTGAACAATAGATTTAAAGAAATTAAGGATTTAGAGACTGATGCTGTCTTTTCTATTGATGACGATGTCATATTCCCTTGCTCTTCGGTGGAATTTGCATTTGATGTTTGGCAAAGTGCGCCTGATACAATGGTTGGATTTGTACCTCGTGTCCACTGGATGGATTCACTGGTATGGTTTATCTATTTTTTTACCAAATAATTGTCTAGTATCCCTGTTAATTTTGGTTGCACGTTATTTTTCTATGCCTTTGCTTTTACAGTTCAAATGTGAAAGCAAGTGAATGACTAATTGAGCATGGAGCAAATCAACCATTTTTATTTTAATTTTCATATATGATTTATTTTTATTTGTTTGCACTGTAATTTTGGCTCAATAACTGCCTTGATTGCTGTTAATATTTATGTTTCAAGATGTCATTTTGTATAACAAACATAAAAAACATAATTTTGTGAAACATATGGTTGAAGATTCATTTCAACAAGAATAGCACATTTGGTATATATTTTTTGCAATGATGTTTCTAAAATTGATCCATATCATAAACTGTGGGGATATTGTTCTTGATGAGGGTCTAGTTTAAAGCGAAAGAAAACTGAACTTCTGTCAGAGGAAAGCATTTCATCTATTAATCTTCAATCCATCCTTCTAGAAGCTGCTAGTCTTGTTTGATGCTGAAACTTGATGTCAAATTGAATGATTATTGTGATGTTTGATACCTAATTCTGTAATCCTTTAGGTCCCCTTCAGTAATTTTTCCAGTTTAGTGCTGTGACAGGTAAAATATGAAAAAATTATAAGTTTAATATGTCTAGTTATTTTATATTGCTTGCAGGAAGGTAATAGCAACAAATTTATATATGGTGGATGGTGGTCTGTGTGGTGGACGGGTACGTATAGCATGGTGCTTTCCAAGGCAGCTTTCTTTCACAAAAAGTATTTCAATATCTACACTAAAGAGATGCCATCTTCAATTAGAGAATATGTAACCAAGAACAGGTTTTTCCCTGGACTAAATAATTATTCATTACCTCTCTTTTTAATCAGGCATCAATCTCATAACTTTGTTTACACCTTTTTTTTATTTTTTATTATTTGCTCAATAATTCAATTGATTAACCAGGAATTGTGAAGATATTGCAATGTCTTTCCTTGTTGCAAATGCAACTGGTGCACCGCCGATATGGGTTAAAGGTAACTGATCATAACAAATAAATTGTTTGATTTTTCAAGGTTTATTTTTTTTTTCTTGTCTCTATATACTTCTGAGCGGGCATAAGAACTCATCGACGCCATATCCTATTGGCTATAACGACAGCATAGGAGTAGCATGAATTACTATTTTATATTTTTTGCATTTAGTTCAGAAGTTCCTTTTAATTTCTCTAGCTCAAAGTGCATGATGCCCTTTTTTTCCGATGAATGATCTATAAAGTCCTCTTGTTTAGGGATTCATCACCTTCATGACATTTGTATGATTGATTTGTGGCTGGGGAGCCAATAAATGATGCATGTATATCTTTACTATGTCAAAAAATCACATGAGAGCCTCGCGGATTTGTGCTACTTATTGATGCTAGAACTACTAGTAGTTTGTTGTGTTGATTTAGAGGTATTTCCTCTCTCCATTGTTGCTCACATATGATAGTATGTTTCTGATATCTTGTTAGCATACATGAAGATGTATGCCATTAGCCAAAGGAAGCAGTTGTACTTCAGTTTTTCAGTTAAATTAGTCATTGACTCCTTGCGCCTGACCTACTGCACCAGTCATACAGTAGACAGTGAATTTACTATGTAATGCATAATGCAGCTGAATACAGCTATGTGCTAACTCTCTCAAACTTATTACAAGATATACGTATATCTTATAATTGAAGAAGTCACAGGATTGAATTTTTGTTCCTTTTCTATCAACAAAATTGTGCAATGAAAGCTTAGTTATGACTTCATCATAGTATGATTTCATTTATCTTTAATTACTCTTGGTGATCATTGAAACAGTGTGACAATTCATTTTCTGTTTGACCCCAAGACTTATTCTTGAAACTCATGACAGTGCTTATATTTTGTGACAAATTTTGTATTACTGTCAAGCCAGTGGCCAGTATGCTGCTGTTTACGAGGTTACTATGTACAATCTTAAGTAGCTGATTGTGAAGTTCCCTGCTAATACTTGATTTTATGTTGCGAAGTTCATTCACTGTAATGCAAATTGAACATTGCGCTCATTATTTGTGAACTACCATGTTGTGATACATACCACCCCTGCAAAGATATTAACTCCATGGATTTTGTTATTTTTTATTACAGGAAAAATATTTGAGATTGGATCAACTGGAATTAGTAGTTTGGGAGGTCACAGTGAAAGAAGAACAGAGTGCGTCAACAAATTTGCTGCTGTGTATGGGGGGATGCCCTTGGTATCTACTTCAGTTAAGGCTGTTGATAGCCGCAATATCTGGTTTTGGTGACGCTGGAATTTTGATTTTCTTTGCTTTTTTAGAAATTCCACTACCGTTTATTAGTAGCTAGTTCAGTTACTCCATTCACGTTAGTCACAGCTGTATAATATTGGATCTTATACACAATTCATGCATTTTGCCGCTAATTGAGCAAATTCCTTAGGTTGATTTCTTGTATTATTTATATGTAATACATGGCAGCATCCTGTGGTTTTTTTTTTTTTTTTTTTCTCTCAAAATTATTACAAATTTGATTGTAGATTAAAGGGTATTACACCCTTAGTGGTGAAGCTTTATCTGTGATATACTTCTACGCTTGAGCTGCTTTATATATATATATATATATATATAAGGAGCTAAATATTCAAACTAAAAACTCCTAAAGAAAGAAATCGATGACAAATTAGCAAGCAAAATTAATTGAATCCATGGAGGAGGGTTTTGAAAAAGGTTAAAACCTTCATTTAACATCATGTTTAGCCTAAACTATTAACACTTCTTGAAATATGTGTGTATGTCATCTCATGATCTTTTCCAACAATGTTAATCCCTTTGTTCACTATGGAGTAATTTGAGTGGTATTTGAGTTAACCATCATTTAAAAAGTTAACCGTCAATGTCAAGTTAGTCTCTATCAAAATAACTAGATAAATTTCTATCCCGAATTAATTTTAAGCCATGAAAGATAGTATAAAGTTCAGCTTGAACTACTGAAAAGAGATCCAAGTTATAGGAGAAAACCACAATAAAATTCTCATTATAATCACGAATAATACCTTTCCAAGGTGCGTTCCCATTACTGACAAGCTGCTGTCTTTCTTAGTACTTAGATATGTGGAGTAGATGGGATCACTGAACAAATTTTGGATTTTTAAAATCGTCGAGTAGATCAATCCATAACGTTATTGTGTTGGAATAATGGAAAATGAGTTTCATAATGGATGAAGTCAGTGGCATGAACCTTCGACTTCAAACACCGCATAAGAATAGCACCATAGCAAATTGTTAAAGCAAAATTTCCCAAACACAAAGGAATTGTAAAGTCGAATAAATAGCAAAGCAAAACAATAATACCTTCTTTAGTAGTCTCCATTATCTTCTCTTCCGGAACACTTTTCACTTTTTTCAATATTTACCAATATAAATATAAATTACTTTTACTTTATTCACCTGATCTCCACAACTAGAGTTTCATTTCATTAGATGGAGCCACTATATAAATCATACAGTATTATTTGATTCACTAAAAGACTAAAATTTTACAGATATTTAGCACGAAATCCGTCCCAATAACTTCATTTGATGAGCTTTTAGGTCTTTTCATTTTGTATTTTTTCCGTTTTTAAGTTGAGCAATATGTCAATTTTGTTTTCCTTATTTGTTCTTTTAAGTCTCATTCGCTTCTTGGGCTTGTGACCGGAGAGCTATGTACTCTTTTAGTTTTAAGTTGAATTATTTGTTAATTTTGTTTTCTTTAGTCCGTCTTTCGAATCTCATTCGTCTCTTTGATCCGAAGGTAAGTTGTCACTAGATGTTAGGCCTATTTTTCAATGTCTCTTGAGACTTCGATCCATTGACGAATAATACGCTAAGCATTACCTAAAAATTTGTCGGTTAGTAGAATAAAATTGAAACTAACAAAATATATCCTAATTCAAAAAAAATGTCTCTTGGCACCTATCGAATGTTTTGCTCATAGGCATTTCTCATGCCATCCTGCAGGAGCTTCTTGTGACCAGAACACTCTTCTTATATGACTAAAACTTGTGCATTTTATTTTCCTTGCTAGTTTTTAATGACTTTTCCAAATTATCTTAATCAATTTTGTCATACAAGATATAGCTTGAAGTTTTGCAAAGTTTTGGAAAGAAGTTAAAAAACTTGAGATGATAGCATATGTAGTTTAAGCTGTGTTCGAATTGGAGATATTGTGTTTTTTGAATTTTATAGAAATTTGCTGCATATAGTTATAGTTAACGGGTCCATAAACAAGGTCCCATCTGCAGTCGGAGCAATACAAATTTCTCTGCAAACTGTAAACAGGTTGATTAATTCAAAATATTTTGGATGGAACATTGAGTCTCAAAGGTAGAGTTGGAACTCATGCTTCCTTCATGAACTTTGCTTTGAGCTATTATCATTCAGGCTAGACACATCATATATCTAAATATGAACAAAGATAGTTGTTCCACGAATTACCAACTGCAACGAAAACAAAAAGTGGAATAACAACCAGAAAAGATCAAGGAATAAAACTTAAATGCAAGTGGGACACAAATTGGTAATATCAAGTTACCAAAAAATATCATCACTCAGGCAATGATGAATCATATAGACACTGTCATAGCTGTAAGTTGTCCAATTCCTCTAGAGGAAAGCTATTAGAATGTTGTCCACTAGTGGTCCAAAGGAAACTAGCATACTTTGATAAATAATAAGTGTTGCCTGGATCTGCTTCCAATGCTTGCAGATATCTCAGTTCTGCTGCCCAAAAATCCTTTCTTACCATCAATAAGAAGTCGGCATAGCGACTGAATGCCTCAGCCTCAGGTGATTCCACCAGCACTGAACGCTTGTAGTACTCTTCTGCCCTGAAAACCCAAACCAAATGTATTATAACGGGAAAAATTAATCAACAATAGAATATCTTGTAGAAGGGGCTATAGAAGAAACTTGAGGATGCATTAACATTATTTGTCATGCCTTCACCCATGAAGTTACCTGTTACCTCATAGTTTATCTATATTGCAAAATGTCACTTCTATCCACTCTACACCAAAATAAATCATCAAAATGGCTCAATTGAGCTCGAGAAAGAAAACTAAAACACCCTTCTTTGCATAAAGAATAAACAAGAAACATGATTCTTTCCTTGTATTATTTTGCTCTTTCACACCAATCAAAAGACTAGCTAAAGAAAGCAGCATATAATACTGACCAGATTTGATCACAGAATTGGTTTGTGAGAACTCACCCATCAATGTCATGAAGGACAAGGAAGAGAAATTGTGCATAGTTAGACAGCAGAAGGGAACAGTCAGGTGTCTGGAGCAAATGCTTTTTGTAATGAAGCTCAGTTTTGACATATTCCTCGTACTGATCCCCTTCAAGGTCCACGGAAACTGGAGCTACTAACCTTTGCTTTGTCTCATTGCCCAAAACCGCACTCCTCAATTCATTTTGAAACATGGAAGCCTCCTCCAGCAAGGAGTCCCACAACATTTCCTCCTCTTCTGACAACTCTTCTTTTGCATGCTCACCTTGAACAACATTACCATCAGCATCAACATGTGGATGTTGTAGTTTACTCTCTTTGTTGGTCACGAGTAGAGCCTTTGTGATCATGGAAGGAGGAGTGATTGCCTTGATAGAGTTGTCATTCATGGAGAACACTAAGAAGTTAGCTAAGAGGACCATCACGTAGACCATGAGAGATGGAGTTTTCCAGAAAACCTGCTGAAAGAGCCAAACAAATGAATTATCCATCTCTCTCCCTAGCTTGGCCATGACACTTTCCAAGTCTTCACCACACAGGCTCTCTCTTGTTTGCAAGGCATGATTTTGAAGCTCATGCAAGATGAACATCATAGAGGAGAAGGTCTTTTTCACAGAACAGTTGGTCAATTCAGCCAACTCACCAGCCTCTTTGAAACCCTCCTCCTTCAATTGTAGCTTCTTTCTTATCATCCTAATGGACACAGGAATTCCCACACTTTTCAGTTTCCTCTCAAAGCCAAGTCTCAGAATCTCATCTCTCTCTGGCCAGCTTGGTGGCTCAGGCTGAATTCCCAAAAAGGAAGGCTCCAAAACTTCAGGCTTCATTGTCCTAAATTCCTCAGAAGAAACATTTTTTAGCTGAGTGTTTGGGGTATTATCAGAGACAGCACAAGCAATTTCATTGCCATTTTCATCCCAACAACCATCCTTAATCAGATTCATCATTTCCTCTGGGTGAAAGTCATCAAAAAGTGAAGAGTAAACACGTTTGCCTCTTTGCACCCTCAGATTCCTTGACGTATAGACCAATCCACATGGCATAACATTGTTCCTCTCAGTGACATGCTTCAATATTGAAGAAGGAACTGCGCGAGGTGTCTTCCATGAATCACAATAAGGGGTTATAAATTGCCAACATCTTAGATCGGGAGAGACTCTTGAACCCATGTTAGATCACCAAGTTCTTCCAGGGATCACAGAAACAACGAATAACGCTGAAAAAAGAAAAACTATCAGATCACCTAAAAGACAATCATAATTAATCCCAAATAGACATTATCAAAATCATGGAAAGCCCGTGCATAATAGATAACAGGTTACACAAAAAGTTTATCATTTTCTGTATAACACAATCAGATCACAACAAATTTTGATGAATGGAAAGATAAACATGGAAACACGACCAAAAAAAAGGTGTGAAAATAACAAATTTAAAAGGGGGTGTGTGTGGAATTTACTGGAAAAATATTCAAGAACGACAAGAAGAAGGAAAGAAACTGGTTCATGAGACTTGGATTGCGTTGAATGTCAAAAACCAATAGAAAACAGAAGATGATACTTTATTTACTGAAAAAGCTTGAAGTTTGATGAGCCGTACGAAGGCTTTGATGAGTATAACAGAGGAGTGGATAACACGTGGGGCCTGATTAACGTGGCAACCATAGTATAAGATAAACTTCGAAGATATTTAGTTGGTTTTTGGTACAACAAAAAGTAAAATGTTAGTTTATTTTTAATATTATTTTTGGAATGGATTTTGTTTGATGTATATTGATTGGTGAATCGTGCTCTTTATAGTTGAATGGTTCATGAGCCGAAAAGCGATGCGAGTTGTACGCAACGGATCACTTTCACATTAAGCGTGTAATTAGAAGGTTTTTACACCACTCGGAAAAAAGTGGATTGGAATTACTATAGCTCAGGTTTAGCTAAGAAAGACCCAAAACACAAATTTTATAATTTTTGGATCATTAAAACATTTTAGTAGAAAAAAAGACTTAAAGTGATGTTGATGAACACATTTCCTTTGTTCCCGAAATTGGCACAACTGTAATGTGTTATTTTGCATTTATGATGTTTTGTTAAGGTAAAAATTTAGTATTAAAGTGAATAATATAATTAGATATATACATAGGGGTGTTTATGGATCGATTTTTTGAAAAATCTGAACTGAATCGAACCGAATTGTTTTATAAAAATGGATCGGTTAACCAATCTAATTTTTATGAAGTGGATCAGTTTGATTTTTTTAAAATATGGATCAGTTTTTTTGAAATTAGATCGGTTTGGTGCGGTACAGTTATCTATTTTTTACTTATATATGGATCGTTTTTTTTTTAAAAACCGAATCGAATCGAACCGATCCATTTTGTTAAAATGAATCGGATATTTGAACCGGTTTCATAAAGTGATTTGGTTCAGATTTTTTTTTAAAAAATGGATCAGATTTTTCAATGAGGATCAGATTGATTATGGATCAGTTCTAATTTAATTTGGATTTTTTGCACATACACATGTTGGTTGTATTTCTCATATTATATACTTCATGTATGACACACGTAGATATCAATTCAGTTCATTCATTAAAATACTTCAATGTTATGAATAGCATCTATTGAAACCAAGTGATTTTATTATTGCAATTATCTAGATAAATTTATTATATAAATCTATTATCCTAATTATTTTTATTATTATTGTTAATATTATTATTAGAATCATTATTATTATTATTATTATTATTATTATTATTATTGTCAATGACAAAGTAATGATCATGACAACAATGATAGGATGAGTAGATAAGAGAAATTTGATAAATTAATTATTTAATTTAATAAGTAAAGTCATGATATATTTTAATGAAAGTTTTAATCATGATAATTTATTTTAATGAGATAATTAAATGTGTTAATTTTTATTTTCACATAAAATTATTATTCTCGCATTATACACTCTATGTGAGAGAGAGAGGGGAGGGGGGAGGGGGGAGGGGGGGAAGAGGAATAAGATCAAACGATACCAAAATTTGACATCAAATCTCAATCATTCAATACATTTTAATCTAACAATTTTTATTCATTCACTAAAAATCTTATATCTTATAAGATCATCATTATTGCTATCTCCACAAATACCATGATTACCACCACTCATTACCTCTACCATCACCAATGTTACCGATATTGTTTTTGTTACTACTATTATTGTCGTTATCACAATACCATAGTTATTGTCACCACCTTTAACAAGTCATTCTCCTGTACATACACTTACACCTATAGGATTTTTAGAGAGAGGCTACTCAATGTACTATTTTTTTTTTAAGAGCTTGTGCCCTTTTGAGTGTAGCACCAAGTCTTAAGAAAATAGATTTAGATCTAAATCAATCTTACAAAATTGGGTTGCAAGATAAGGATCAATTACACCTCACTTGTTGATACGCATCTAACAAATATACCAATTATTATAAGTAATAAAGAGATTGTTTCTACCTAGTAACTAAGAAATATATTTATAACAATAAAACAAGACTTAGTCAAATCTGGTAAAATGATTAAATAAAAGATTAAAACATAATTACTCAATCCTATTAAAATGTTAATCAAAAGTAATTAAAAATATTAAAATATAACTACTTTAATAATATATTACAGAAAAAATAATTAAATAAAATATTTTATTAAATTTCAAATTATAATAAAATTCTCCGGCACAAAGTTGGTGCTAGCTAGTCCTCTTGTGATTAGAGAATCCAGGATCTAATCCAAAGCTTGAAAGATGAGAACAAACTTAAAATAAGAATGAGAGAGTTTGTATCACAGCTTAGAGCAAGTAGTTAAGCTTTAAGAAACACCAGACAAGGCCTCACTGCTTCCTTATAGCATACCTCTTATCACTTTTTTTTTTTCGTTTTTCCTTTTCCTTTATTGTTTACTTCTCTTTTTGGGTTTTAGCTTAAAGCAGCAGTATTTTATGAACATGAAGCCTAGATCGTGTGGTTAATCCGGTCAGTATATATTTTTCTCCTTTGGAAACTTTTGTTGAACAAAATTAAAAGGAAAGTTTGAATAACTGATATTTCTCATTTAGTGAGCGAATATTTGGTATCCAAAGTTCTTTTTCTTGTGGTGTCTCAAGTTATTGAAATTTATTTCATAGGTATTTATTTATACATATATTTTTATATTTTTTTAGAAGATTTATGATAAAAAGTTAATAGCTATCCTATCACTATTCCTATAATTTACCATAAAAAAGGTTACAAGAAAAGTTATAGAGAAAATAAACACAAATATTGATATTTTTGTCTCATAGGGTAAATCAATTACATATTTATAACTTAATAGCTATTAAGAATGATCTTATATGTGTCATCATCCTATTAGGGAATAAAAAATAATATTAAAATTAAATATAATAATATTCTAATATTGTAAGACCATCCTATAAAATGTTTATGCCATTTAATTCTTTCTTTTTTTGGGGCCTAAAAAGTTCATGCTAGCATTATCGACAGTTCCACATAGAACATTGTTCTCAAGATTTCGAGATAAATTTGAACTGATAAAAAATATTTATCTAAGAAAGTTTGAGGCTTCAAAAATTTGGTAGTTAGCATTATGTCTTGGAGCGGATGTAGTGAGGATGTCAAAGTGAGTCAATCCAATTTACATGAGTTGGCTCACCAAGGGTTGTGCTTTAAATGGACCAATCTAATTTAGTTCACTTTTTGGTAAGTTAGAAAAATGTCAACTTAGCTTGATCCATCATGTGTTAATTAGTAGATTGACTCACCAAATTTTTTAAAAATTTAAAATATTAAAAACTAAAAAACTAATTACATGTTTCAATTTTTAATAAATAAAATAAAGAGATTTTTTTTTATATCAAAAAATCAAGTTTATCATTGATTCAAATACAAATACATAAGACAATATCAATTAAAATTTCAAATAAGAATTACATAAAATATAAAAATATATATATTTTTTTAAAATGATTATAATGGATTAAATGGATCAACCCGACTCACTTAGACTAGAATCCAATTGGCTCACAGGTTAAGTGAATCAAGTTGAAATTTAATCAAAATTGATATAAATATTCTTTTTCTAATCCGACCTGACTCAAACTTGTGGTAAGTTAGGTTGACCCACCAACTTTGACTCATTTAGACACCTTTACGTGTTGGCCAAGGATGGAAATTTACGAGTAATAGAGCATGGGAAATCCAAAACAAAATTGGAATTATTGGACAACAAAGTGACAACTAGCTTGGTAAATGGTAGGGCTGATTTTGATTAAACAACAAACCAAGCTAGGGGAAATGGGTTGTGGGAAACCAAAAAGTTTAGCAAATAGAAAATTTCAGACATGTGTACGATGAAGGTTGGGTTGGGAAACATGCGAAAGGTGGAACAATGTATCTTTTTATAAATTAAATCATTTAAGAGGGGTCATTTGCATAATTTAGGGACCAAAATTTTTTTCACGATGTGTGCTCATTTTAGACAAGATATGAGACTTTGAAAAGGGTATGATGGATTTTGTGAAGGTAGTTGGTTGAAAAAAAAGGAGTTGTTGAATTTTTTGTTAAACAACGTATTGGAATATGTTGTTGGGGTCAAGGTTGGACAAAATACAGTTGAACTTGGAGGTAAGAATAAGGATTGACCATAGGCCTACTAGTCGCACAAAACTACTGACTATTGATATGTGTAGTAATGTTGATATTGTTGTTGGTATGGATCATGTCCAGTGTATTGTTGGTAGTATTGTTAATATTGTTAGTATGGAGCTTGGCCATGCTATTGCTAGTAGTATTGGTGATATTGTAACTACTACTGATACCAATGTTCTGCAATTCAGTGAACAAAAACGATGTTATTAAGCAAAGTTATTAAGCATATTTTGCAAAAAAAGCATATCATGTATCATCCAAATGATGTTGTTGATCAATCTTCATATATAAAACTTCAAAATATTGCTATAACTAATAACTATACCATCATTACTCCTATAATCTAACATAAAAAGGCTACAAGAAAGTTAGAGAATATAAACACAAATATTGATATTTCTCATTGGTATCTCAAAGGTTAAAGGAAATATATATTTATAACCTAATAGCTATTAAGGATAACCCTACATGTATCATCATCCTATTTCAGAGAATATAAAAATAAGATTAAAATTAAATACAATAATATTCTAATATTATAAGACCATCCAAAAAAAATTTTGTCATTTAATTTTCTTTCTTTTGAACCTAAAGCCCATGGTAACAAATTATTTATGCATATGTTATATACTTGAAGATATTATTTTGAGAGTATAAATTAATCATTGACTGTCAGTTTTAGAATATTGCATGAATCATATATATGAATAAAAAAATATTATTATTTTTCAGTTATGCTATATTATATTGATGAATTTCATAAATTTTAAATTTAAATCTCTTCAAACTGCATCTATGCGATAGTTGAACTGTGAAAGGATCATAAATGGTCTTTAACAAAGTGAATTGTGAGGCGTACTGATACTGCTGGAAAAAACTCTTCCAATAAAACCAAAAAAACAAAAACAACGTTTGTTTTCTTGGTCCACAAAAAAGTTTAGTATCTTTGAAATTCTAATTAGCCCATTACATAACAAGCCCATGCAGTTGAAAGTTTACCAAAGCTTCTAAAGCCCATTTATCTTCGGTGGCTCGCAAAGTCGTAATCTTTACAGGTGATATTTACATATAAGAATATTATATTATTTGTATATTTGACTTGTCCAGCAAAATAAAAGAAAATATGAATTAAATGTGTTTTTATTTTTACTATTTGAAACATAGTGTAATTTTTTATACACTAAAATTACTTATATGCCATTTGATAGAGCCACCAAGAAATATATACCATGTTTAGTTACATTATTGACGTGATTTTTCAAGTTTAATATTAATTATTAGTGTGTTTAGAATTTCGTTAAAAAGTGATTAATCATGAAATGTGAATATTATAACTATAAATTTTTGAAAATCAGATCTGAAACGTACAACCAAACACAAACTTATCAGGTACAGATCCTATGAGTTTTAAATGTAGTAAATTGACATTTTATTTTTATATTTCGAACATAATTCTAAACACACGGGTAATCATTTTAAATTTTGTGTTAGCGAGAGATTGATGATAATTGCTCGTCATTTAGTCACATGGAAAATTTTTATTACATAGCACGGAAAGATATTGCAGAGATAGAGACTCTTAGTGATTTTAAAAAAAAAAACTAACAATTGGCAGAAATACATATATATACGATGAGATTTATATTAAATTGAGGCATGCTACAACATAGATTAATTTGTTTTTAGCTGAGCTTGTAAATAAGAATTTGGGTATTTGGGTTAGTTACACTTGTTTTTTTTTGTCACCCATATGATTTTGCAAATTTCACTTGATTTTTAAATTTGTATATTTAACCACCTAAGATTTTAAAGTTTTACAAAATTTGTTATTTTATTAGTTGTTTATTGATATGATAAATTATATACTTGTTGACATGATATATATGTCACCTCATTATTTATATATCAAATCACTAATTCACATTAATAATAAATATGATATATGAGTAATTAATTAATGATGTTAGACGGTAAATTAACATGATAACAAAACTTAAAAATTTCAAAAGTTTAGTAAAAAAGAATTAAAATTTGAAATTTTAGTAGATAAAAATTCCTAAAATCATAAAAAAACAAAAAGTGTAATTATGGATAAAAATTAATACGTGCATATAAGTAGAAAATGTTGTGAGACACAAAAAATTGTTGGATTAAAATTGTGAAATATAAGTAGAAAATGTTGTGAGGCACAAAAAATTGTTGGATTAGAATTGTGCACAAATGAAGAGTGCATATTTAGAGTAAAATATAAAATTATTATTTTTGATTAAAAATAATAATAAAATAAATTTAATAACTCTTTTTGGTTTAATAAATTTATATCTTATTGTATGTATCTATATATTTTATTATAATTTAAAATTTTTGATAGATTAACAATTATAATATCTTATTTTATCCTCCAAAATACGTGCCTTTACCGCAACCAAATCCAAAATATGAATCACAGTAGTGACAAAAGTCTAGCATCTAATCTGAAAATCTTACGACTGAGAAAGCTCTCTAAATAAAAAAAAAAAAAAAAAAAAAAAAAAAAAAAAAGAAGAAGACTTGATTTGAGTTAACTTATGTGATTCATTTTATTATTCTTTTTTCTTTAAATATGAAACGTGAATTCTATTATTTTGTGGTCATTGTATGTGTAATTTAGAGACATGCTCCTAATTAATAAACATCACGTCTCCATGTAAAATAAATTTAATAAACTTTATTTAAAAGAAAAAAAAAATCCCTGGAATGGAATAGATGTAAAACATGCAATAGTTGATTGTTCTACCCTGTCCGTAATCATGCGTTGAATTCATACCAAACAAGCCAATTATACTTTCCTGTTGACTTGACAGCAAAATAGAAATTGTTGACCCGTTCTCATCACTTTACTTTTCCTGCAATGTGTGTGTTTGACCATTTTTAAGAGGAAATTTATTTTAATTGTGTTCTAGATTGGAAGAGAATTCTGGACCCATTCTTTATTTCAATTTGTTTTAGAGACGTCATCGAACCCTCCATAATATTCCAACACAAATTTCTGGGGACTCAACCGCGCGCGCAGCCCAATTATGCTTAATAAATACTTTTTTCACTAGCATCACAGCATGTATGCAATTTTCTTTTCTCAAACATGAAAATCTCAATTAACAACCACCAAAGTTTATGCACTCTTTGGTTTAAAGGACAGAAGAGGACAAATTGTAATGAAAGAGAATAACTCTCTTTCTTTTTTTTTTTTATTATCATTTACAAAGAAAGAGAGATAAATGAACAAATTCAATATTATGTATTTACAATAGTCAAAATTGATGCAGATTTTGTTTTGCCGATCTTTTAACTAAACAAGAAAAACTAAAAAAATTCCCCTCATCTTGTTATTTACTTCCAATCAAATATTATCCGTTCCGTTTCTTTATTCTATCTTTCAAACGTGCAAGTACGATTTGTAAGTGCGTACTGGTTTTCTAATAGAAAAATTGACATTTTTGTTTTGTTTTGTTTTCGAGTGAGTGATTAAAATATATGGATACGTATCATCCCCGCAAATAATTAAATTCATAAAAGAAGAATTTGTTCTAGGGTGATCACACTGAACATATAAAATTTGAAGAGCAAAACTAGGTATGATCTCTAGAAGCGTTGCGAAATAGTCCCGTCCAAGGTACTCTCCAGCCATATTTGACTAGTATAGTATCTCTATCCTTAGATTCTTCTACCTAATTTCCCTCAATAGCAGGACACAGCGTTACGAACCACGCCTTTTCATGAAATAAATGTAAAATAAAACATTTTAAAGTTGAAGTATTTAGATGGACATTTTGATGAAAATGAAACGTTGAGAAAATATGATCCAAAAAATAGTGAAATAAATTGAAGATATTGGTAATACAAAAGGTTTGTTTGTGTGAGTAAGTAGTAAGTAGTAGTAGTGATGAATGAATGAATGAATTAACAATGGTTATTTTGGCAATAGTAGGCAAGAAAGGTCTTAGCAGCATCCAAGCTAGGGTAATAAGAGGGATGAAGAAAGATGTGAGTTAAGCCATCGGCATCGGAACTGGAACTCCCCATCACAACCGACACAACATGCTTATAGGCGTAGAAGAATCTCTTCATCGCCACCTCAATGGATTGCATGGCCTGCAACACCTGAACTTTCTCCAACTTGTCCGCGTAAGCCTTCATCGCAGCCTCCATCATCCCGGGCCCACCCTTGGGGTCCACCTCCACCTCCAGAATCTCCGGCACCTTCTGCCTCAGATCCCTACAC